GACCATAAGAAATATTTCATTGATTAAAGATTTAATTAATCGCTTTGGAAATGTATATTTTTCATTAGAAGTTTAAAAGTAGAAGAAGATAACGATTTTCCAAATCTCTAGCTTCTTTTTGGCTGCCTGACCACTATGAGCCAGGTCGGTTACGTAAACGCTGGAATTGAACGTTGTCTGCAGGATAAGAGAACTATTATAATATATATGTAAAATCAAACAAAGAAAAGTTTGTATTTTTTTTTTTGACTTCTGTTAACTATTTAGGCAGCGTTCACCCTACGCCGGAAAAATTTGAAAACCCAGCAGTTTATTTCTAAAGTTGGACCTACCGTCCACATTAATCCGTCAGGGAAACGGAGCTTTTCGAAAACGCTCTTCAAACCGGAAAAATTTAAAAACGCCAGGGTTTCTTTTCCGGGTGTACGGAAAACATTTTGAAAACAGAGCTTTTCGAAAACGATGGTGTCACGATAATCTTGACTTGTCATTTCCCTGACCGAATTATCCTCAAACACAAATCCAAAAAAAAGAGTGAAATTTTGAACATTTGAAGCTGCCAAAACCGCCATGACATGCAAATTTCGAACTTTCTTAAATTTTGGCCGTAATATAAATCGTTGGAGCTTAAAACTATTTTTCCTTGACTAGGTTCACCCAAAGGTATATTTTGGCGAAATAAAAGAAAAATCGATTTTTCGTGACTGTCTTCGGATTCTCAACATTCAGAGAATATAACTCTTAATATAGATGTTGATTCATTTCGTTTAACTTTCATTGTTTCATTTTTAAGAACGGTATTCATTTCAATCAATCTTGCCCCTCTTTTCTTGTGTGAAGAATGTTCATCATCTCTTGGCATGGAGAACCGTCTCATTAAAGATGCGCAAATCACGACCGCTTCACAATATCATGCCAATTACGCTGCGAACCAGGCAAGGTTGAATTTTAAGGCAGGTAGAGTCAAACAAGGGGGATGGTCCGCTCTCTGGAATAATGCCAATCAATGGATTCAGGTGGCCCTTGGTGGTTACACCAAAATAACAGGTATAGCTACACAAGGAAGAAATAGAGCCAACCAGTGGGTAACCAAATACAAGCTTCAATTCAGTGACGATGGAGTGAAGTTTCACTATTACAAAGCACCAGGCCAGAGTTCGCCAAAGGTAAATTCATACCCATCGGACAATTTCATACATTGTTGCACGCATTCTTTGCATCTCTCTAGTCTTCCAAATATCTAACTAATCTTACTGCTAATTTAGTATTATATTTTAATGTCACGTCAAGCTCCATCCTTAGATTTGTTGATGCTAATGTTTAGGTGTTTAATGGAAATAAGGACAGAGACAGCATTGTTTACCACAAGTTAAACCCGCCAATCCAATCTCGCTACATCAGACTCAGGCCAACAGCATGGTACAGTCGTATATCAATGAGGATGGAACTGTATGGTTGTATGGGTAAGACTGTTTGCTAGTTTGTTTGATTGACAAATATTGACTTTCTATATACGTTAACCAACTAACTTAAGTCTCTCAATGGTAAAGAGAGAAACACTGAGGGAGTAAAGTATCTTTCCTAAGAACATCACAGTGATCCTGTCAGTGCTCCATCCCCCACCGAACTTCGAGGCGCCAACCATTGCAGACAGTCTCACCTTCCGAACTTAAACAATGGACTAACATCCTCAATTAAGAGCATCGTCTTTCAGCAACAATCACAGACAGTAACCTGAAAGCAGGCTTTTGCAGTGCACAGTTGGAATATCAAGTTCCGTTAAGAATCGAAAGCTTTTTGGTCCATGAACAACCAGTCTATATCAGGTCAAAACCAAACGAGCAAATTTGCGTTAATGATCGGTACGAAGTGAAAGGATGTTGATCAAAGGCGGAAAATCCAAAAGGATTTTCCGTAACATACAAACTAGAAACTGCTTGCATTTAAATCCACCCTCTCCCTGTTATTTTATGCAAAGATTGCTCAGCTCCTCTTGGCATGGAGAGTGGTTTCATCAAAGATTTTCAAATCACGGCCTCTTCACAAAACGATGCCAATCATGCTGCAATCCAGGGAAGGTTAAACTTTAAGGCAGGTGGAGGTAAAAGAGGAGGATGGTCAACTTTCTGGAATAATGCCAATCAATGGATTCAGGTGGCCCTTGGTAGTTACACCAAATTAACAAGTATAGCTACACAGGGAAGAAATGGACACAGTCAGTGGGTAACCAAATACAAGCTTCAATACAGTGACGATGGAGTGAACTTTCACTATTACAAAGACCCAGGCCAGAGTTCGCCAAAGGTAAAACAATACCCTTCTGGCAATTCCAGTAGATCGGATGCATTGTTTGCATCGCTGTGGTCCTCCAAAGATCTGAACCATTTTACTGCAATTGATTATTTATTAATTTACAAGAAACTTTCGCTGGAGTTTTTGTTGATGCTATCTTTAGGTGTTTGATGGCAATAAAGACAGAGACAGCATAGTTTACCACAAGTTAAACCCGCCAATCCAAGCTCACTACATCAGACTCAGGCCAACAGCGTGGTACGGTCATATTTCACTGAGGATGGAACTGTATGGCTGTTTAGGTATGACTGTTATCTGATAATTACTTGCTACTTTTTTCGAAAAACGTTAGTGTATAACTATAAAATTTACTTAATGTTACGACAAAATATTAACAAGACTGAAAAAAGTTTAAGTATGGTTCAAAAAGTGAAACACCTAACGTTTTCAAGATAATTTCTGAAATTAATAATTCATCAAGTTTAAACAAAGGAAATCATGATCGTGACGGTGTTTGAATATCTGATCTTAATTAGCATAGATTTTAACGATTTCATTTCTCCGTTTTCTCCTTACTTTTAGTCTTGATTGCGAAGATATATCAAACACTCACGACAGTGTTTGACCATATTTCCAAACACCTCGAAGTTCGTCAAAAATACTCCGCTGCGCGTCGTATTTTCAACCGTCTTCTCGGTG